ACCTATGATAATTGAAGCCTGCTGGTATTTCAAGGGCGCCCTCGTTTAGAAAATAGAGAAACCCCTCCCACACAAACTTAAAGGAGTGCTTAATAAGAACAAAATCTCCCGGTTGAGGTTGAGAGATTATGTCAGTAGGACACACTCTTCTCCACCCCCGTCCAGCCTCAGCAATGATCGTCATCCCCCAACCCCTACCTTCCGCGCGCACACATCCTCATATAATAATGATACCTCCCTGTCAATCGTTATGGGGGAAAATATGACAAGGTGAAAATGAAGACAATCCGATGAGGTGCTACAAAAACAACAGATGAACCGAGCGGACGCGAGAGGCATAGCCGATGGGGAAATGTGTTCGATTTGACGGATACCCAACACTCGTGGAGACGCGGTCATTGTCAAGTCTTGACGTAACAATTGTGTAGGCGAGAGAGTGCGCTGGAAACAGAGAATGCGAGCGGGCTTCTGAGAAGTTGGCGACCGGTCAGGGAGAGGAAGGGACGGGGGAACTATAATCCGGCCATCGTGGTCTCGTAGGAATGTCGTTGAAAACGTGGTTAATTTGGTGTATAATTGAAAAGGGGAAGGGGAAAGAGAAAGTGTCTTGACATTCAATACGTACCAGACAGACTTCACCACACTGTGGTTGAAAAAGGTAACTTAATCGCTTTCCTTTCCCTTTTCAGTATTTTCCCGAATTTCTTTATTCCATTGGGCGGGGGACACCCTTCGGCCCCCTCCTTCGTTTTATGGCCACACCTCTGATTCTTCTACCAACCCGCGATAATCATGATACACTTTCTCAACATGCGCGATGAGATGAGACTAAGATAAATAGTTTTATACATCATTAATTAATTATTTTCTATAATAACAAATGATCTGGCTGATCATTCTGTGGTGGCCAGTCTTAACTAGTTTTTAATTCATGGATTCGGGAGTTTCTTTTTCTGCTTCCTTTCTGTCTTTGGTTTCATAATTACACCGGATTTTAAAGTTATCATACCTGAGCTGCCCACGTGGTGGCGCGCGATCAATTTACACCGAGGTACAAAATGTGCCACGCAAAACCCAAAATACGAAAAACTTCATAAAATATTATTTCATTTGCAGGACAATGATGCTTAACTTTCCTGTTTATATTATAATAACATTTTGGTCTCATGTGGAATCCCAAGTTCTAGATTATTTATGTCTTATACAGTCATATTCAATTAATTCGAAGTATCGAACATTTTGGACAGTCCCTAACAAGGCATGACATATTGGCAACGGAACACGACGACTGCTCCATGACACGAGGATTAACAGAAATGAAATAGTTACTGACTGCGATTCAAGCTGTCGGTCAAAGTTAAGGGCTAAATGATCAAATGATACAATAATATCGCTAGGTTCTCTGTGCCACGAGAGAGATGTAGGGGGGGGGGGGGCTTCAAGATGTTATTAAGCTTGTTCTTTAGGGATTACAATTTAAAGGGGGATATATGAGAAATTGATATAAACAGACTATTTAATTTGATTTACTTCCAGACATCACAATTACATTAATGAACAATTAAAATTACAGAATACAGATATCAGGTGATGAATGCTATAGGCTGGCAGAAAGCCAAACTTGTGCCGTACGTGGCCAGCCACCCGTGAATAAACAATGAAGTTTAAATCTAACAAAAGTGAAACTTAAATAAATAGTTACAAAACTTAAATAGTTGGGAATGATTAATACAGACCAGTAGTAACAATATAAGGCGTCTGCAATGCACTGTTAATGTTGTTCAGGCAACGTCTTTTTTTTTTAGGAATAAGGGTAGGGTCATCTTTAAAACTAATGCCTCCCGACAGAAGACATATATTAAAAAATGATACCCCTTTATTATTTTATGTATCAATTACAAAACCAATTAATTTTCGTTGCTTTTTTTCTTCACAAATGGACAGCTCCGTTTCTTTTTGTGAGGGGAAGAGATACGGAGGTACACTTGGACTGATTATGAGGTACGTACACTTTATACGCAGGTACACTTTGACTGACTATGAGGTACGGAGGTACACTTGGACTGATTATGAGGTACGTAGGTACACTTTGACTGACTATGGGGTACGGAGGTACACTTTGACTGACTATTTACAATACAATTTTGTCCACAGGCACCACGAAAAGACAAACTGTCCTCCCACAGAATAGTCACCGATCGTACCCTTCAGAAAAAAAGTGCAGCCGACACAAGGGCAGACCACACAGCGAGTGGTAGGGAAGCGATGAAGGGTACGATATTGTACCTGCTGTAATCTTGACAAATGGAGGGATGGACCTCAGTCGCTAACCCCCAGGCATGGTTGTCTGCACCACACGGGCAACAGGGTGTTGGGGGGGGGGGGGGGGGGGGGCTAGGCTAACACCAGACGCGGGGAAGACGGGAATTTATGGAGCAAAGGGGTTGAATTTATTGGCCAGTTGTTTAGAAGGGGGAATGTCACACCTGAGGTGATGACAGTCGAGGGGGCCAACAGTCTACCCCCGGGCAGGTGTGAGTGAGGAAGTGGACATTTAAAGCAGTGTTCTCACTGCTTTAAAAAAAAAAAATGCTTTATTGTACAACTTTATTGCTTTAAATATATTATAACAACCAGATTAATTTCTGAGAATTCTTGAATAAAAACGGAACAGGGGAAAAAATATGTCAACAAACCGTTAAAATTGGAAAAGCCATGAGAAAATGCATAAGCCATTCAGGAACACCAACTTGCAACTTGAAGTGGAGTGGTTTTTCTGAAATGCTCACTAGGAACTACAGGGGGCGCACTTCAAGAATTTGGGCTGGGTGCACTGTGGATGCATGAGCAAAACTTGCGGTTTTAAACCTGAAAGACCCACAAGGAAAGAATGGAGCGCGGTTGGATCGGATTGGGGAGGGGGAGGGGAGTATTGAAAGTAAAGGAGCGCTTGTGCGAAAACAAAATGGATGGATGATAATCATAAAAATCTGTATTCGCAGGCCAAAGTTTATTTGAATGTAAGCACGGTGAGCTCAGTCAGAGATAAGAGTAGTGAATCCGTCTGCATCGTCACTCATTTCAGTATAAGAGTAGTGAATCCGTCTGCATCGTCACTCATTTCAGTACCTACTGTATTCACAAGCGTGAATCCTTTGCAGTGGCAGAACCAGCTTTGGATCACTCGGGGGGGGGGAGCTGAGAAACCAAGAGGGGGTTCAGCTATATTATGCGGTCATAGGGGGGGGGGGGGAATCAGATTCCCGGTGGATCCGCCCCTGCTAACGTAAATCCATCTCACCGTATTCTCGATTTCGTTCTTTTCTAATGACTTTTTCATATAGGGGAGGGGGGGAGCTGACAGCTCTCTTGCATCTTACCAATGTCAATAAACTATTACAACTTTCTATCCAAAACAAAACAGTATAGTACGGCAGGAGCAGGGCTTGAGGCCTTTGGTCTCTGTAGCTGTCGACCCCCCCCCCCCCGACATCAAAACTCTTGGATTTATACTTCACAAACCCCTATGAAAATTCCTGGATCCGCTGCTGAGTTTCCCTCTAAAATCGGACAGGTAATTGATTAAAGAAAACAAAATGAAAGTGTAGAACGAAATCCAAACAGACCGAGTCAAGTGTATGCTTCAAAAGAAAAAACGGAAGAAAAACTAAATAATTTATTCACTTCGATTGCACTGAGTTCTATCTTTTACACTAGTTACGAATCAGGAATCATGTTTCTGTTTTCAACGAGGAAACTGCTTTTAGTTCAAAATGTTTTCTGTCCCTCATTTTCCTCCCGAAATGACTACCAGCTTCAAATGAAATTCAAAAAAATCGTTGAAAACTAAAACTGATGCTCATAAAGTGAAAAACAGCTATGATTGCCCCAAATACTTGACAAATAGGCTGTATTAATATAACGAAAAACCTCAACCATTTAATTACAACCTGTAGAATAATGTTTAATTTATTTACTCAGTATTTATTTATTTTTTATTTAGGAAGGTACTGTGCACAAGAAGTAGCAAATGCTCCCCAATCAATGCAGCCATAGTTATTCCAATTTGTTTAATTAATAAATCATATTCCACTGACAAAAGCTGATTTTAATCATTCCACTGGATAAAATTGAACCAAAACTATAAAAGGCCTAATATACATACTATTTTCAGTAAAAAAAATATACATTCACTGACACTGTTAACATGAACACAAGAAAAATAGGTTTTCATCTACATACATTATGTATCAGTTACTAACAACAGAAAGTATTTGTGACCCTAACCTACAAATACTGGTATTTTCAAAACTTTTCAAAATAGAAAAAAAGGAAGTAAATAATAGAAATGGAAAATATATGTATCTATGGTAAATTTGTATTAAGCACTAAACGAATGGTTGATAATAATAATAAAAATTATAATAATAAGAATACAACAGAAAATATAGTCACTTTTGGCTAAATTTGAATACAAACAATTCTACAGCCACACTGTCCGTAGTACACATTCGCTCACTCTCTAAATCGTTTTAAATAGGACACTCAAACAGCATCTCAGTTTAAGTCTTGAGTTGTTCATTATGAAGAGGTGTTGAACCAAATCGCTGCCATTGAGACAAAACAAAGTGCTGACCATTACAACCACTATTGTAATACTCCTGCTGTATTTAAATAGAGTTCTTCTTCTTCATTTGCAAGCAAACAAATTGTACGATACAAATGTTATTATTATTTTCATTAAAAATAATGTAATGATAGGTTAAAAACAAATTCTACGAGATTTTTTTTTAGTATGAAATGGAATTCAAAAGAAATAAATTTTTGTTGTTGTTGTCAATTGAGTCGGCACAATCACAAAGAATGATTTCTTGCTTGTCTCTTGAAACCGGATAAGTTTGGTGTACAAATACAACTGGGTGGAATTTTAACCAGGTACTGCAGGCTGAAGTACATGTATGAATTACGTAAGTTGGTTTATTATGCGTTGAAAACTTCTACCTGATTGCCAGAAAAAAAAAAAACTGAAGGAATGCACAAAATGGAAGACTTGCATTAGTACATTTATGTTTTGCTCAAATACCCTGCAACCAAGTGATAAAAGGATTATTTTTCCAAAAATCATGAATAAATTGGGTAAAATACCCATATGAAACGTCATGCAACAAAATGAAACAAAATGAAAAGAAAATCAAAATGTATCTTGGGCCAAGGGCACATTGGAATGTTTGATTTGAACTTAAGAATAGAACTTAATTACGATTAAAAAAAAACCAATCAATAAAACTATTCATTGGTGGAACCGATACAAAATAGATACAAAACCAAAACGTCAAATTGAAGAACATCTTCAGGTTTGAAATTTGTGTGTGTGCGTGCTTAAGCAATGTAGATAAATGCCAGTAATTTACGGTAATATCATGAATAAATTAAGGCCACAGTTTTCTACACCAAACCCCCCCCCAATAAAACACATACGAAGATGAAAGCATGTCCAACTTCCAGAGTCTGTTTCTGTCGCAGTCAACATGGCTCATGGGACCATTTGATGGGACACAAGGTATAAGGTGTGTTTTCCATCTCTCAACTTTCAACTAATCAAACTTTGTTGGGTTACTTTATTTGCAAGGCACTCCTGGTTGTTCAGAACACTCACTCACACACTGTTTGGTTTGGTCTGTTTGATGGTTTGATACATCCTAAGGACTAGGCTGTGGGGTTCTTCTTCATCAATTCAATGTCTGATGTTACCATCTCAACCACTAGATCCTGCAGATTGAAGGTGGGGGGGGGGTGGTTTCAGAGAAAGAACGGGAAACAGAATGAACAAAACTTGTCTTTCAAACTTTATTCCCAATGTACATGTATAGATGAAATTTTGGTAACGTATTTTCTAAATCACTGGAGAAAGGTTTGAAAAGTGATTTACTGCGCTGGTTGTTTGAATTGATGTTGTAAATGTGAACGAGTCAAAATCCCCCCTCAGAAGTGAGGTTGGGGTCTACGAACGAATACTTACCTGTAGAGCATTGGTAAATGGCTCTACAGGTAAGTCAAGTGACATACCGGTAAGACTATACAGTTTTAAAAAAAATCAGAAAATCAGAAATTATAAAAACTTTGACAACATTGAAGATGCATTCAATGTCCCTATATATGCTCAATTCAAAATTTTCGCTATTTCAAATTTGGCTGCCAGTTTCTTTACATCCATTTGTCCATCTTCAACCAATATTAATGAGCAATGTTACAATGTATGCCAGCAATAACACCAGAGATACGTGTATAATGACATCTGTTTGTCTACAATGGTGCTTTCTTATGGGAGCCATATGTACATTTTGGTGGGGAAGTGTCATCCACACATTGTTCCAATTCAAAAAACACACACGTGATTAAAGGCAGAGTACATCATTTGCAGCTATCCAAAAAAAAAATCTGACTAAATTTGTGTTTAAAAGCATACCCGGTACTTGGTTTAAAGATACATTGTAGTAATGGGACTAAATTCCCTGTGCCATGAAATTATTCTTTCTGGCATGCTTCCATTTTAACGAAAACAATAAACTAAGGTTATTTCCAAAGATACGTCTCAAGACATACTTTTGGAAATTTCCGTTAGTAGTTCATTTTTAATTCGGTGAAGCAGTGAATGAGTGGGCGCAAGCGTTGACACGACGCTAAATAATTTGTCAGTTCAAAGCGTGACATCGCATAGCTGCAATCAACTGAATGAGAACGTGTCCCGGACACTGATTTCGGGCGCAATTCAAATCATGACTTGGCAACGTTTGAATTGAAATCGAGATCCTAGAATATTGTTTTCTCTGAATTTACAGCATTCACTGAGCTGAAACTTCATCAGGTTAGTTGTTACGTACCCTTCTTGATTTTGAGCGTGTTTGTTCCTTTAAACGAAAACAATGACAAATGATGTATTCTACCTTTAAACACATCCCTGTTTGCCTTACTAGTGTGGACATTCCTTTGTATTCGTGTAGTTATAAAGAAAAACTGGGGAAAAATATTTTTACCCGCACTGTGAGCACTCATTCAACCCAAATTTTGTAGCATGATTTCCTTGAGTGTTCCATTCATTCTGCAACTGATAACCATAAACCAAAACTGCCTCTTAAAAGTTTTTTTTCACAGAGGGGAAAACCCTGTGTGGACGTGGGCAAGTTCACACAACGTCTTCACTACCTGCACTATGTTGATATATTTTGTTCACAGTTCCACACAGTGACTGCACTGCCTGTCCAGCATAATGCCATTACGTCAGGTTGCATCACTCACATGTCTTGTGAATAATTCATTTTTCCAAAGCTGAACATTTCCCTTTGAATGAAAAATTGTCCAACACCATGCCCTCACAGTGTCTTCATGCACTTCTCCTGAGTTAGTCAAAAAATGCCCTCAGAATATAAAGTTCTCACTGATAATCCCACCTTGAAAAGGATCTTGGGTTCCCATCCCATCATCGTCTTGGCCTTACTCGGATCACCTTGTAGATAATCCTACCAAAACAAATTAAACATAAAAACATAAAAATAGGAAATTAACAGATTTGATTGAATTGATATTTGGGACTGACAGCTTGCATATAAAGATGAAATGCACAAAATGAATCCATACAGGTACTGAACACGATGTATGCTTTGTTTGCAATAATGACACGAGGGAGAGAGGAAAAAACAAAAACAGTTTGTCATTTTTTAAAGTTACGGGCCAGCTGCAAGTTTTCAACCTGCGCCCAGGGCTTTATGCTCCCCTGATGTTCTACACTAATTTCACTTTGTTCCCAGCCTCCAGCTAAACAAAAACCCTCCTTGCTGTCCAAAAAACTTGGGGCTTTGACCTCCGAAGAACGGGGTCCCGGACGGTATCCCGCTAGGCAGAATACCAGCCCCTAGCTTGGACCCTACGTCAGAGTCTCCCCGATTATCCATCTTCAATTCCGTCCGGCCCGCGAAAAAATCACTCTCGTTTAAGTTCTCGGGGTCACTGACGCGGCAAACAAGTGCTCCAATCTGTCTTCTTCAGCTTCTGTCAATTTTATTTTTCTGTTTTACTTCTTCCCTTTGTGTTTTCTCCTCTTATCTGCTATGTCTCAAATCGGTCTCTCACGGCAGGGTAGCGGGACCAACCGTGGATCCAATACCTGCCCTGATTTCTCTTCCTCTTGAAGGTAGTTTCAGTGTCTCTCGTCAGGACAGCGGCACCGACACTGAGTAGGGGGAGGGAAGGAGGAAGGCTGATGACGACAGCTCCAAGCACGCCAAGTGTATCAAGGAATTGAGGTAATTGGTGGCTTATATGACCAATCACTTAGGCAATTTGGAGGGAGTGGGCACCCTGTTGCCATAGGGGAAACTCAAGCTGGGGGGTGGCTTGCTAGAGCTTGCTGGGCTGGGAATTGCAAAGCGTGACATTATGCATTAACAGAGGAATTTGCAACTCAACTGGAAAGGACTGTGACACACGGAGCACCATACAGTCACACCGTATCGTTTTTACATGTAACCTCCTTTCACTTTGAAGACAATTTACTACCGGTAGTTAAATTTCTTTGATCAGGCAAAATGGGCTTAACTCTGACATGAATATCAGTAGACTTCAAAACATACGAGTGATGCGACAAATGAATCGCCCACAAGATAGTTCAACAAAAAAGTCATTCGTCATGAGTAAACGTAATGTCATGCACAACATGCAGGTTAAAAAGACAAATTAAAGTATGACACCTAAGAATATCTAATAGAAAAAAAGATGAAACATTTTATTTTCCTGAACTAACAAATCTATAACAAATTAACAGAATAATCGGATGTTGGCTGCCAAACACGTACATAGACATGGGCATTATTTATCAGCCGTACATGTAATGCAAGACAATCTGCTGAAATGGCAGAATCGAACGTATTCAACATATAAAATAATTATTCCAAAACCATAATTTGGAAATGTCTAAATTGGCAGAAACCTCTGCAACTCCGCTCTGTTGCAAGTCCCCCTGTACTGCTCGAGAAGTACCGGTCACACACTGCACGGAAAAAAATTCACTGATCTAACTTTAACCAACCAAATCTTATTACATGTACATGTATTAAGTCTATCTCAAAACATCAGATCTGATTTTTTGTGTGTGTTCCGTCAGTTTCAGCAACCGTAACAGATAAACCCAATCTGACATGCAGAATGGACTGCTATTAGTGCGAAATGGCCAGGCCCAGCATGGGAGAAATAGGTAGTGTAGGGAAAGCTGATTGGTTCTGACAATTCTTGATGGGTGGCCCCCGCATCCCATGGAATGGTGCTCTCCGATAGTGAGTCTGGCACCCCGCCACTCCGGGCCTTATGATCATGGGAGATGTTCATGGGCAAATGTGAATGGCAGAACAGAGAGTGTACATGTACATGTGGAAATCAGAAATAAGCTGTTTTAAGGACATTATTTATATTGAAAGGTGAAGCCATTTTTGGAAGTTGAACATGATTTTCTAGACGTAAATTGATTAACAAGGCCATAACAGGTTTTTAGTTCTGATTGTTTCTGATCAAAAAAAAGAAAAAAGAGAAAAAAAAAAGACTTGCAATAATTTTTTGTTACAAAAATCTGGGTTCCTGTGGCTGATATAAGTATTTCGATCACACAAACACTGTACATGTATTTAAACCTGCAATGAGCGAATGGAGAAAATAAATGGCAAGAACACAACAGTTCTGACAAAACACGGCATTATAACATCAATGCAAAACACTTGGCCAATGACCTGGGCCAATCATATCACGATACAAAACGAGATACCCATATCTACTCTAAGGTCAACGTACTCTTGACCCTCAGGGGGCCAAAAAATCCCACAAAAACCGTGGTCCCTCCTGGCTAAATTAGTCACCTTATATCGGCCTCCCAAATGAAGGAAGACTGACAAGTGAGCGGCGCCGTGTTTTACATGTGGACGCTACGCTAATTAGTCCCTGACACAGCTGAAAAAGAAATATAAATGTCAAATGGCCCACTCCTTGCTACCATTCAATCTAAACTGACACTAATACAAAAACGACAACACAAAAACCAAAAAAGGAAAAAAAGTACCCCCCCCCCTTCTCTTTACTCTTTTTGAGAAACCATTGAGCTGGAAAATGGCAATTTTCATTTCCGTTCAGCCCTGGAGGTTTGAAGGCGGGCTGAACAGAACAGAACTCACGACAGGGGATGCAACAAAAGATGCTGGAATCAATGCGGGTAGAGGCAGGCAAACAAGGCGTAATTAAAAATCAGGCGCTACACAAGTCCAATTAGGCTTGACGTGTGATTGGTCGATTTGTGAAGTCATGTATATGTTCCATATTGTTCCACAGCATGGTGTCTTTTAAATAAAGACAGGTTGGCAAGGAGATATGAAAAGGGGCTTATTTTTGCAGGGAGAACGATAACTTTTGTAAAGCTTAAAAAAAAATGTGAGCACTTTGCTACATGTACAATATTAGTCTCAGAGATGCCACAAATCTATCAATAAAAAGCCTGAAACACTACTAAAAAAACCTGAAACTACCCTTACCCCCTTTCAAAAATGTGTTTTTTGGATGTTTCAGACCAAATCTAGCTCTTTTAATTTGTCACATTTTTGAAAGAAAAACCTGAATTCAGGTTAAAACCTGAAAAGTGGCATCTCTGTAGTCTAGAACGTTCTCGACTAATACCAGTACTAAGTAAAAAAACTACATGAACATATGACATATTGCTGTACATTGTGTATTAAAAGAAGTACATGTACCGTATATATGCTGTGAGCAACCAAGTAAATATGTAGAAGTACATGTACATGTTTTAACTGCAACTGGGCAATTTCAGAAGAATTGAAAAGTGCTATTGCAGAAGAACAAAAACATTTGACCAAGCTTTTGGCACACAAACGTACATGTTAAATTGCACACTTCTAGTATCCACAGACACTATGTACAGGCACATGTACTATCTGTAATAAATTGCAATAGACAAGTACATTGTACATGTATGTAATCATAAAAGGTACATGTAGACGACAAATTAGCATTGGGCCAGCATCAACCATAGCGCTAGCCACACACAAAAGGAAAGGGGGGGGGGGGCCCTCAAAATACCAGCAATATCACAATGAAGTGATTTCCTAATGACACAGGCCAACACAATCAACCAATAAATTCAGCCATCATTTGCCTTTTGTCCGTGTTTCTCCCGTCATAATTTGAAGTAATTTGATTGCTGGGATGGGTAAAGAGAGAGAGAGAGAAAAAAATAAGGAAAAAGTGTGTGCCATGCTATAAACTAAACCCCACGGTTATACACGATCACCAGGTTGGCTCAATTAAGTTGTTTCTGCTTGTCTGCTAAATTGCAAGACATGGTCTTGAGTCGACTGGAATCAATAGCTTTGCATGAAAGGCATCAAAATCACAAAAATAAGTCTTTGATTGGTCTAATAATCACATGACAGTCAGTTACCAAGATGACAATGATGGGACTGCCCCCCCCCCCCCCCAACCTCCTCATTCAATCTTGGACCGGTTTAGTCAAAACTACAATCTTTTAAAGGAATATACATCATTGCTTTTGCTGTAATTTTCAGAAATGGATGGAATTGGGGGGTTGGAAATATATAGCAAATATAGTTACACTGACTTTTTGGAGGTTTTGGGTTCGAAAATGCTATAAAAACCAAGAAAAACGATCATTTTCCTGTAGTCTGGTTCCCTGACTCCATATAAGAAGAAACAGAACAGTTTACATACACTAGGGAATTGTAAGGTCAGGGAACCAGTCTAGCTGGCTCGTACCCGTTCATAGATTTGTAATCGATTGCAAACAAGTGCAATGGTCAATTGGGGCCAGTATTGAAAAAAAGCCAGTTCGGTTTCCAACGCTGATCGGCCGATCAGCGTTGGAAATTGATACAAAAATACCCTTTTCTTGAAAATGACAGTATACCAGGTGCCATAATTTTACAGGATGCTTTAGACTGTCATTTACCACATCCTATTAAGGTATTTCGTAAAACTTGGTAATTTTATTTTTCGAATTTGCAAATGTTGTATATTCCTTTAAGATGTGTGGCAATGTTTGGTTTTATCAAGTCTATCAATAACCGACAACTTGCTGTCAATATCCACTCAAATAATGCCAAACCTTTTCACCTCCCCCCTTCCTGCCTCCAAAGCACAGCTTTTCAATACCACAATATTTAGATACAATTACCAACAAAAACCAACTGTGTTGTAGGACCCTTTCTGATACCCAATACAATCTTGCCTGGCAGGACTGGGGGGGGGGGGGGGGGGGGGGGTTGGACTCCAAAAATCTCAAAGTCAATGTCAATTAAGTTGTACATCTGGGTTATAACCAACTCAATACTGTTATTGTTTACGTTAAAAATTAATGGGTAAAAAAATGGAAAAGAGGGGAAATTAGATTTATATAATAAAAATAAAAGATGTGTGTATTAATGACACAGATTGCTCCCCTAAGTATGGTTATTGACATAACAATCACAAGATCAGTGGAGGGTTTGTTGTTTTACGGCCTGGTAGCCACTTATGGATGGTCTGGTCACCAACGCTAATCGCACTGTGATTTGTTCAGGCGTTCAGGCCCCCCCACAGGTGAAAGGTGACACAAAAGAAGTGGAACTGGTAACCCGTCTAAAATCAACAGCCGCAACAGCAGGGCTTTGATAGCTCTGTGTTTTGTTTAAAAACAAAACCAAAAACCTGAAAAAAGAAGAAGTGGTGGCATCATGGGAAGAGGGGGCAGGTAGGTTGGTTGGTGAAAACATCATCAGTCACACATGCAGGCTTGGAAACCTGACCATGATTCTTTGATACATCACAATGGACCAATCATGAGTTGGGCTGATTAATTTGTGGGCAGGAATGTTGGGAACCAGACCTGGTATGCATCTGATACAACAAAGCCAAACGCAATCTCTTTTGGGATGTTCAACTTCAATTCCTCAACACAAAAAAGCTTCTCTGAATACAAAAGATTTATAAAGACATGGCCCCTTTTATTAATATGTACAATATGTAATTTCCTCAAGTGAAAAATATTACACTACTTTCCCTTCAGGTACTGTACATGTACATGTACTCTAAATGGCACATAATACATAGCTTGTTTTAAACACAACGAGTAATTGCAGTGCACCTTTATCAAAAACTGATATCAAATTTTTCAAAACCTCTAAACATCCATGACTTGTTAGTACCATAAAATAGAGGCTGCTTGTTAGTTTTTTTCTTCAGACTACTGTTTCCATCAAGGACAAACAGCAACCAATGTCAACATTTTCATCAAGTGATTACTCACAGAAAAGGTGTCAGCAGCCATGTAGGCTACATGTAGACTTAACTGAATTACATGTTAAAAATTCAAGAAGTTGGAAAACAAGAAAAGGAAAAGATGTGATTACAATCCTGTCTCGAAGATAATGGCTTTTCTGAACAAGTTGAACCTCACAAAAATGTCCAATCCATGTACGTCTCTCAAAAAGCCAATTTCTAAAAAGACCTGTTAATTAACCCCATTGTTAACGCAGACGTCATTCACATCACCAGAGCAGGAAGTGGTTAGACCGTCTAAAGGCATCCTACACCCCACTTGAGAATCGGGGTAATTCATTGTTCTTCAGAATCTCCTTCCCTCCCCCTTGAAAACAAACTCTTTTTCTTCACAGAAAGTATTGAATTAACTCAATAAAGTCAATTCTGCTCCGACATCCACTTCGTTTTATTTCCCCTTTTTTTTGGTGGCAAAGTGAAATCCTCACTCCAGGATCAAATACCCTCGTGCATTCAGTCCGAGATGAGGGGGTTATAAACTGATATCCTCCTTCATCCACAATGGGTTAGGAGAGCTATATCCACCCAAAGAGAAAGCCCTCAGCCCACGGCAGGAATAATATTATATTAAGATCCTTTGCCTCTTTTCTGGCTCATCAATAGGAATGTAAAAGTCAGTCACAAAGTTTACTTAACAGCAGAGAGAAGCCTTGATTGCAAGTGTAGATCTATAAAAGACATAAAATGAAAGCAAAAAATTCAGAAAGAATCAAGAATAGCGATTGGGATGTAAGCCACATCTATCTAGTGTGCGGATCAATCAATTACGGCAGGCTAGGTCATCGCACCCTCAAGAGTTTGTATCTCTATTCGCCTTCTGGAGAGCCTCACAGGACAGGTATATCCACTAACAACCCCCAAGGCAGTAATGGAGAAAGCTGAGACAGTCATCGCTAGAGTGGCCGGCATTCCTTTCACCAGGACTATAAGACTGTCTTCTTCCTTTCATTTTTCTCTTCTTTTTCAATTTTCTACCCGATGGGAAAGCATGTTACTACTGCTAAGGCACACTTTGAGGGCAAAATGAAATTGTTTTGCTTTTGCTTACATTTTTTTTTGGGGGGGGGGGGTATGCACAGGAAGAATCTAGGAAATTTGAAATACATTGATGAATTAAAGGGACACTGCTTCCTAGAATGCGCCCAATTGGGCTACAAAACGCGCTTTGGACGAAATGCTGTTAAAGAACATTTAAAAGTAGGAGATAAACATCCACACAACTATCCTTTAAAAAACTGGGCGTTTTTGTGTTATTCTTGTGTTATGCGTGTGAGAACGACTTTCAGGGTCCACTTTTGCGACCTCAAAAAGTCGGGCTTTTCGTGCTAGTTGTGATTCCAGCCATAAAGCGTTCACCCTATGCAGACGTGTAAGAAACCACATTTGTGCATTGGTACTGTGTGTAATTTATGTGACATACACAACGTGTATCCTACATTGACTGAAAACGACACAAAAAAACGTATGCGTACTCCATCGTGTCCGATGTAAACAACCGTTTTTTTTTGCTTTTCTCGGGAACAGTAAGACATTAGGTTGGTTTCCTTTCAACCAGATGTTTGAAATAGGATTTAAGTAAACAATCCAAAACATGAACATTCAGGGATTTAGGACGCAGTTGCCCTTTAATGAACTGATAGCAAAAGGCAAACTGAGACTGACATTTGATGGCCCAATACAATTTCCGAAACTTTTTTTTTCATGATTTCACATGTACTGTTACAATGTACATGAATGTTCAGTCGAAAAAAAATATATGCCTATTGGGCAGATGCAAATGTTTTAAAAATAAGAGGTGT